ATTCCTCTGCAGTCACAGAAAAAGGAGGGTGGGTTTTGTGACTTCTGTCACTTGTTATTTGACTGAGTGTTTGCAATTGTTTTTAACGTAACTTTATAGCCACTTCTTTAGGAGGAGAGATGAACGAAATTGGGCGCTGCGAAAATGTCCAGCTTTGCAGAAATGCCCTCTATTCTGTGCCTTGATACGAGAGATGAACAAAATAACGAGCATCTGCCTTGTGGCCCTGTGACAAAATGGTTGGATTTCAACCACTAGTACTTCCGGGCCGTTTTCTTCCGCGGCTCCAGACGCCCTGCTTGAGAAGCTTTGTCGAACCGCCAGCCCGACATTTTTTTCCCCTTTTGGCTGGCACCGCCAGGCATTGAGGTTTGGTAGCGCCGAAGTCCGGTTAACGCAACGAGTTAAGGGGCCGGCAGCAGATGTATGGGCCAAGTACTGGTGTTTAAAAAAAAAAGGAAAAGAGAAGTCAGGATCCATCAGCAGACACTGACCCAAGAAATTGGGAGAGGTCCCAAATTGATGTACTGGATTTGTTTTTAATTTTATTATTTTTTTCACTACTTTACAATTATTTTACTTATTTATTTTCAGGATCTGGACGTTATGTCTGTGGCCATTGTTCTGATGTCATCTACCAACAGAGTGCTGCATTTGATTTTATGTACTTTCCCTCAGTGTCTTCAACCTGCGCGGGCCAACCATACTCTAATTCCCCGCTGCACCCGCACAACAACTTGAACACAGCCCACCTGGTACCAGGCCCACCTTTGGCTGTGTTCAACTTGAACACAGCCCACCTGGTACCGGGCTCGTGGGCCTTCCCAGCATAAAAGTATCCGGGTGGGTCACCCACACACCCATCCTGATGAGTCGATGAAAGTCCGAGGAAACAGTCTGCCACAGTCATGCTCTTTATGAGTGTATAGACAGTATAGCGAATATGACAACACACCCATGCAATCATGCAGACAGGCAAACTCACAGAAACGCAGCAATGACGCGCGCGCACACACACACACACACACACACACACACACACACACACACACACACACACACACACACACACACACACACTTAGAAATCTCAGCGGAGTACAAAAATCTCATCGGAATACAAAACTCTCAGCGGAATACAAAAATTTCAGCAAGTCACTCAAACAAGCGGCAAAACTCGGAAAACAGCTGCGATTTCTCAGTCCGCAATTTTGGACGTCATTACAGTTATCAAGTTATCAACTTATCATGTTTTTTTTATTCCTGTTATAGTATTATTACTGTAATTATTAATTTAATTAGTATATTAATAATATTATTACTATAATAGTATTTTACTATTTTCTCGTATTATATAGTATTATCACTATGTGCGGCTGGGGCTGGGGCCCAGGGGGACCGAGCAGGTGCTATTTGGCAGGGCGCTAAGTGAAGGCCCTGCCTGTGGACTGTTGTAGAAAAGGCCAGGTACCAGCCCAGGAGGTTGGGCTCCCGGTAGGCTGTGGCTGCTTCCAGAGCGTACTGGAAATGCAGTGCCTACTGGTCTGGGTCACCCAAATGGGTGGGCGACAGGTGGGTGTGTGCCAGGCCTGGGTCACCCGACCTATAGAGTCTAGTATAGACCCAGTCACCCAGCACAACCTACAGTGCCCCCCCC